CATTTTTTCAAAGAAAATAATCCAGATTAATTGCGGCATCAAGGATAGTGAATTTGATTGGATGAGAAGTATAAACATTCCGACACCCTGTTGGTTTATACACAATCCATCCCGCCTGCACACAAATCTCACAAGATGTCCGTGGTAGAGACGCAAGAGGGTGAAATGTCCCACTCCCAACCAAGCACCAGCGAGGAGGTTGGTACTACCAGTCTTCCTTATACATCCCTGGCCGTACCTGGAAGAATTTTTCGGAATGGTTGGATGCAAAATCAACTCCTTTAGAATGCGCTGCAAGCTCTGCGCACCAAAGTACTACAAGTTAATGGCTTTCAAAAACTCTCCATTGAATTTAAAAAAGCATATTGAGGTAAGCTGAAATTTTATAAGCAGTCGATTATTGATAAATTTTAAATTCGACTTTAGCCAAATCTGAGTTTATATGTAAGTTAATTGTGCAAAGATATAATCGACAGCTGGTTGATAGGGATGTACTAGGTGCTAGCATGTAGTAAAGATAGTCAGGATCCTGGCTGTGTATGTTAGCACGCGTACCTGTGTGCGGGAGGTCCTATCATAGAGGTAATAGACCCAACTACTACTATGAGCCAAATACTGTTTAAATGAATTTAATTCTACTTTTTAGTCATGCTAGCAGCTGCTTGTGGTCCTAAAACAACATATATAGAGTCTATATAATAGACTAGTAATACTGCTACAAGCATGACATTTAATACAGAGAAAGTCCTAGAAAGTCTGAGTTTGTGGTCCCATACCTTTTCTGCCCTGGCTGGTGCCCTAAATGATATTCACACAGAATTCAATGTCAGAGAGAAGATCGTTCGCACTACAACTGACAACGGATCTAACTTCCTGAAAGCCTTCAGAGTTTATGGGCAGATGGACGAGAAGAACGACAATCCTGCATCTGTCGGAGAGGGTGATGGAGAAGAGGATGATGGTGGCCAAAATGATGATTACGATGAAGAAGAGGAAAGCGTCGAGGGTGTTGAATTTGTTGATGCCGGAGCCCTGTTGGACAAAGATGACTACTTGGAATACCAGCTACCCAAACACCATCGCTGCGCATGCCACCTCCTCAATTTGGTGTCTACAGTTGAGAGGTCAACCCATTGTACAAGCGTGTGTCAAGGTCCACATTTGCCAAATGCTCTAGCCTTTGGATCAAAAGTTCAAGATCAATCACTGCATCTGAAGTAATTGAAGAGCACTGTAAACTCCAACTCATAAGGCCTGTTGCTACAAGGTGGAATTAATTCTTCTCATCCGTAGAAAGAATAGTGAGAACAACAAGAGAACAAGGTGAAGGAGCCTTTGCAGCTGTCTGCAGTGAACTAGATACACCTAAGTAAGTGCTTGTTTTTCTGCCTTTCTGTTAATGAAGTGATTATTAACAATAGATTGTCATAGTTTTATACTTTGAATAATGTAGAACACATATATACACTTTGCCAATATACAGTTCCCATATTTACTATATATGTGATTTGTAGAAACACAATTACAGTTCTAAATTTCTTAGTCTCAGATGACAATATTTTTCCTTTTTACTTATCAGTTCCTCCAGTTAAAGGTGCTACATCAAGAAGGCTAAATGTTCCATGTTTTCTTCTTTATACAGGTTTACTCCAGTGGAACTTGGATTCCTTGCAGAATATGTGAAGACAATGAGCCCAGTTGCAAGGGCACTGGATGTTCTTCAGGGAGAAACCAGTGTGCAGATGGGATGGTTGGTCCCCACCATAACTCTACTAAAGACCAAGCTCCAGCACCTTCACAGCGCCTCCAGGTTCTGTGAACCTTTGATTGCTGTACTTCTTTCAGGCCTTGAAAAACGCTTTGGCGAGATGCTTGCAGATCCAGAGCTGATAGCTGCAGCCATTCTAGTTCCTAAATTTAGGACCTGCTGGACAAGTGATGAAAATATCCTCAAAGTTGGTAAGTGTATAATTTCTAAACTTCCCCTAATTTCTATGGAGACAGTGAAATGAGGTTGAAATCACATTTAATGACACACACACACACGCTATCACACAATTACAATACTGCCATATGGTCTAAATTGTCCTGATTTTTGTTTTTTATTCCACAGGCCTTGACTATATCAGAGGCCACTTGGACTGTCGGGCCGAGTATCACATCACTGAAGGCTCCCAATCATCTGAGGAAGAGGACTTCTTCTCCTCCTTGAAGAAGACCGGCCCTCTTGAAACGGCCCAGCAGTTGGATACGTACCTGGGGTGCCCAGGAGACACAGTAGAGGTACTGAAGTCCTTCCCAGCTGTGTTCCAGCTATCACTTAAGCTTAATACGGCACTCCCTGCCTCAGCAGCCTGTGAAAGACTGTTTAGTGTTGCAGGTCTCATCTTCAGGCCAAGAAGGGCAAGCATTGGCTCAAAGAACTTTGAGAATCAGCTGCTTTTGCGGCTTAACAAAGGTTATTGGTAATTCTTTGTTGCATGTTCTGCACTTAACTGATGTAGATCCTGAGTACAAAATGTTTGTTCGATAGCTTTGAGCATAGTACATACTATCAGGAATGTATTAGGATTGAGTTATTTATTTTTTAATAAATCACTTGGATTAATCATTCATTTTGACAGCACATGTTTATTGTGTATTGACAACCATACAAGGGTAATTGTTACTAATCCTGCCCTGGTACACCAATTTTCTCATCCATTGCCCTCACAGATTCCTACAGCTAAGCTTGGATGTACATTTACATTAATGTATAGGTTATTGATGACGTGACTCTGATTTTTGACTTTTGCACCATTAGAATACTTATACGTAACTAACTAGTCATCATATCTTCTGCTCCATGAAACACATGTTAATGCTCAGGAGTACACATATATTCTTTATCTTTAATGTATTTGCATTGTACTAAAATGCATTTATTTTCAATGGGCATATATGTGACTGAAATGGTAGCCTAGTGCATCTTACATTTTTCAATATTAACATTTTAATATAACATTTGTCATTACAGCCTTTAGAAAAATATTTTTTTGAGGAGGTGGGGTATGGCACAATATGGTCCGTATGACGTAAGCTTTTGCCCTTAATGGCATTTTCCTTACATTACTTCTACTTTTATACTTTAAGTAGTTTTAAACATTGTACAGGAACATTTTTGGACATGCATTAACCTCAGGCCCTGTATCTTTCCTCACATCCTCTGGTCACAGTGCAGGCAGTAGGAAGTAAAATATATCCACAAAACCAAGAGCAGTCAAAAATTTTGCTTTTACAGTGGCACCGGTGGATGTCAGGCAAGCTCAGATGAATACGCAAATGCCTGGAGTTTATGACCATTCAAGGAAATCCTTAAACTATCATGTAATATTTTATTTTGTTAGAAAAAAGTCTTGCAAGCGAGAGTTTGCGAGACTTTTATAAACTGAGTTGCTTCTGCATACAAGTACTAGAATTTAGGTACACCTCATTTTTTTGAGGTTAGGTCATGTCTAAGATGATAATTCACCATTGTTACATTGTAGATAAGTCAGAAAACAAGGAAAAGCATTCCATGGGCTCTTTAAAAGTAATTATTATTATAGCCTTGTATGAAGGCCACGATATGCTAACGTCTAGACATAGGCATAAAGCTTAACCTCTCACACTAAGGTGGCATATTTGAAACATATTAAAGCTCCAAACACTGCTTGAGGTTTTTTGGTGGAGATATTCACTCAGTAATTGACCACCATGAACCCGCAAACAGAGTTCCCTGCTGACCTCCCTCTTCCATGTTATTAATTCAGGATAAGACTTCAAAACCTCCCAAATAACAACAACCTGCAGTTATAGGCAGCTACCTCCTTATACCCTCAGATGTTATTGTACTGAGAAAGTTTTATAAACCAGTACACTCTGGCTCTTTTAGAAAGTGTTGCATTTTGTCTGAAATAACCAATAAAAGCCATGACACTGGCCACTTAAGACCATATTTGTTTTGCACAGTATTTAGTCGACATAAGATGTTAAGGACAGGAAATATAAAGGATAGTGTATATAGGTTTCCACAATCAGACAGGTTGTTGACACCGTGAGGTTACCACCATCTGTTTTACTTCTCTGAGACACTGTTGAGTAGGTTGGTCTACTGTTAACATGGTTGATTGTGGAACAATATCACTAAACTCATGAGAATTAATAACATCAATACTTAAAGACAGAGTATTAAAGCTATTCAGGAATTTTATATAGAAGTTTAAAAAGGTTACAGCACTGTAGCAAGATAGAAAGTCACTTTTGGCTTTTCCCATTTAGGGGTCGCCACAGCGAATTGTCACACTGACGACTCGCATGTTGACATTTGGCACTTGTTTTATGCCGGATGCCCTTCCTGACGCAACCCTGATTTGAACCCAGGCCACAGCCACGAGAGCGCTGCGCCTTAACCACTGGCCCACCAGGGACGGCTAGCAAGCAGCAAGATATAGCAATAAAATCATCAATAATTGTCTTGATTGGTTACAATCTAAATAAATCAACAACTACTATTTCTTAACATCACTCTGGAATGATTATACTAGGTAAAATTATTATGGCTATGCGCCACTCTTTTTCAAAAAAGGGGGAAGTAAGTGGGAGCACACAAAGTAAGGTTTTAATGTGTTACAGCTCCAGAATTGACAATGTAGAGGTGAGCCATCCTACATGTGTCAGACAGGAGGCTGCAATTAGATGCAGAGGACATCAAAAGGGAGATGGAAGAATAGACAGAGGCAACAATGCACCTGATTG